GGTTTGTTTGTTTGGTGTTGGGGAAACTCCCACTGCTTTCAATACACAATTAGTAATGGGCTGTTTTGTATACTTGTTTTCAGTTTTCATTTTGACAAACAAGCACTGTAATTAAAGCTATTAGAATAAAACCTCTAAACTATTAAAAAAAAAAAGGTATCTGATCATTGACAGAACAGTCTAATAGGCATGTTAACCATCTAGCCATTCATCTAGAATTTTCAAGGTCCAATTGTGTGTGAAGTTAGGTCATTAAAACAAGCAAAGTAGCTGGGCCTTATTATTTCAGCTTTCCACTGGAATGCTTTCACTGAATTATGATTTCATGTTATCCTCTCTTTTTTTCCACATAGGGTCAGTACCAGAATTACTCATTTTAACAGGGTCATGCCATCTTTTATAAAACTGTAGTTAAATACCAGCCATTATTTTACTCACTGCCCCTTACAAAAGGATGTACAATAGTAAATTCCTGGTTGATTTAAGTACCAGGAAAATACATTTTTCTGTGAATTAATCAGCATGCTTTCTCTTGTTAGAATATTAATATGTAACACGTAGATTGTAAGCTCCTTGAAGGCAGAAACTTTTGCCTCTTTTTGTAACCCCAGCTCTTAGCACAATGCCTAGAACGTTTGTTGTTTTCATTGAGTCATTTCAGTTGTATTTGACTCTCCATGATCCCATTTGTGGTTTTCTTGGAAAAGATACTAGAGTGGTTTGCCATTTCCCTCTCTTGTTCATTTTATAGATGAGGAACTGAAGCAAACAAGTGAGTTGTCCAGGGTCACACAGCTAGTAAGTGTCTGAGGACACATTTGAACTCAAGTCCTCCTGACTTCAGGCCTGGCACTCTATCCACTGTGCCACCTAGTTGCACATAGTAGGCACTTGATAAATGTTCACCGACTGGCTTTTTTTGTCTTAGTTATTGACTATCCCCCCCCCCGTTTCTGTCTAATTTAATACTCAAGTATAATTCGTTTTTTTCAGGTACCTGACAATTTTTTGCCTTCTCCTTCCTTGAGTTGGTGTCCATTTTGGCTTTTGTCCCCAATTACCCTCATTTTTCTCAAGTACCTATTATGTGTCAAGTATATAAAGACAAAAACGAACCATCTCAACCTAAAGGACCTTACAGTCTAACAGCAGAGACAAAATACACACACTTAGGTACAAGCAAAACAGATCCAAGATAATCTTGGGAGGATAAAGATGGTGGTACTCGAGATGAATCTTCTGAAAGAAAAAGGCATTAATTCACCTGAGACACAGGTGAAGAGGAAGACCATTCCAGTAATGAAGATCAGCCAATGAAAAAGTTCTCAGTTGGGACAGGGAGGCTCCTGCCTAAGGAGTAGCAAAGCCAGCTGAACTACACCAATAGAGTTCATAAGGCTAGGTGGTGCAAGGGATAGAGCACCAGCTCTGGAGTCAGGAGTACCTCAGTTAAAATCTTGCCTCAGACACATAATACTTACCTTAGCTGTGTGATCCTGGGCAAGTCACTAAAACTTCTGATTTCCTCACCAAACAACAAAAACCATAGGAGGGGAGTTGGTTTTAATGAGCTTTAAATGCCCAACAAGGGAGTTTATACTAGATCTGGTATTCAGGCCCAATTAAGTTTATTAAGGGGGTGGTATAGGGTATGTAACAGGGTCTTACCTGTGCTTTACGAAAATCACTTTGCCGGCTATAAGGCTATTGGATAGATTGGAGTGGGGGAACGATGTGACGTAAGGAGACCAATTAAGAGGCTATTATGTTTCACTCATAAAGCATCTCAAATACTTTCTGGAAAGCCATAAATGCTAATCAAATAATGAATAAATATTATCCATGGCTAGGAACTCTCAAAGGGAATTCAGCTCAAGCAAGAAGTGGAGTTATCAAAAATAAAATTCTGATTATACAATTAAGAATGACCTGGATAACGTAAAAGAAGAGGAATCTTAAGAAATCAATGTGGCTGAATAAAGAGCTCTCTGACAAGATAATTTAAACAGATGTATGAGAAATAGGAAGCAACACAGATAAATAAGAAATGGTAGCGTTCACGTATAAGAAGAACTTAAGGAAGGTTAAATTCCAGAATAATAAAGTTTGTGATGAATGCTAATCACCAGAAAAGGGTAAGGTTTGTTTTTTTAAACTATATTTAGAGCAAAAATTAAAAACAAGGAAAAGACAAGGCCATTGCTTTAGGAAGACAAATGACAAAGAACCAGAGGACCTATTCTACTCCCATTTTGTTTCCATCTTTTTCATCAGGGAAATCATAAAGGACAAAAGAATTTTAAAACGGAATTGTATACCAATATAGGCAAGGAGATAAAGAACACTTTAAGTAGTTTCATGTTTCTAGCCTCAAGTGAAATATACTCTTAGGTATTGAAAACGCTTGGTAGATAAGATCATGAAACCACTGGTAGTTTGAAAAAAAAATTATGAAGAAAAAAGAAATACCAGAATAATGGACAGGCAGAAGTCTTGATTTTTTAAAAAGAAGGAGGGGAGGGGTGGAGTAGATTCTATAAACCACAGACTAAGCAAGCTTATTATCAATCTTCACCAAAATTCTAGAAATCATTCTATAAAAAGTTTGTGACCACATAATTATGGCTTCCTTTCTGAAGAGTCAGCACGAATTCACTAAGAAAAGTTATGGGGGGTTTTTTGTTAAGATTAATAAACAGGTAGCTCAGGAGAAGACCCAAGTCATACAGAATATTAGGATCCACAAAAGCATTTCATGTCTCTGAGAATGTCCTTGTAAACAAAATGAAGACATGAGAGACAGGAGATGTTATAGAACTGGGGGGGGGGGGGGGGGAGCTGTGGCCTGGAGGCCATAGGTTCCCCACCCATGGTATAGGAAGACAGGTTTGTGGATAGATGAGCAATCATAGAGGTCTCTTGGAGCTTGCCACATTGTACTGTCCTGTTCAATAGTTTTACCAATGCCAGAGATACATTCTAAAGCATAAAGGATTTCATTTAACTTGTTGCTCCAACAAGTTAAGTCTCCAAATAACACAGTATCACACAGTATACGAATGATAGTACACTTTTCCCAGTAGTTAAATATGGAGATCCTTAATCCTAGGAGACATATTAAAATTTTTGAATACACAAAGCTCAGAGAAGTAGCTAACATGATAAAGGGCAGAATTATGAATGGGGAGCCATTCTGGTATAGTGGATATAGAGACAGACTAGAAGTTAGGAAGATGTGGGTTGGAATCCTGCTTACTAGCTGCGTGCCCTTGGCAAACTCATAGAATCTCTTTGAGTCTCAGTGTTCTCCATTTGTAAAACAGGGATAATTAAACCTGTAATATCTTCCTCACAGGGTTGTTAGGGTGAAAAGAGATAATGTGTCTAAAGTATTTTGTAAACCTTAAAACACTACATAAATTTTGGCTCTTAACATTTCAATTATATCCTTCTAACACCCATGGCTATTAGATCTATCTGGTTGGCTGCAAACACTGTGCAAGAGTATCTGAGATGTGTCCTCCTTATTCTAAAGCAAGGGTTCTTAACCTAGGGTCTATGGACCCCAATGGGGTAAGTGGATAGATTTCATAGAGTTCACAAAGTTGGATTGGGTAGAAAATGCATCTTCATTTCACTGATCTGAAGGAACTGTCATTTTGCCTCTTTTTGTAATTCTAGTGCATAGAACCAGTGCCTAATACACAGCAGGCACTCAATGAATGTCTATTGACTTACTGACTAATCTCTTTCTGAAATTTTGCATTTCTTTCAATTACTTCAAAACATTATTCTGAGGAGTCCATGACTTCAACGGTCTGCCAAAGAGATCCATGAGACAAAAAGGGCTAAGAACACCTACTCCAAAGACAAGTTTAAAAATACAAAAACAAAAAATAAAAATAAATAAAAAATTTTAAAAAAAAGACAGGTTTCCATCACATGCTTGATATAAAACCAGCTCAGCTGGTATGTGTAAAGTTCTTTGGAAAGCATGAAGTACTACATAAATGTCAGTTATTATTATTGCTAATGGGCATATAAATGAATCTTTTTAATTTCACTTCTAGCATGATTTCTTTAAAAATTCCTATAACTTAAGATAAAGCTACTTATCTTCTCCTTTTTGGAGTTCTCTCTGGATTCCACTTTTTCCTTTCCCTTTTGACTAGCAGCATTTCCCCCATTACAGAAAAAGACCATTAGGGTTCATCAAATTCCATTTCTAGGACAGAAGTCAAAGCTAATATGGCTACACCAAACATCAGCAGGAAATTTTCCAGCTGGCCTATTATTAACACTACGCTTTTGTTGTTTGAAAACTTTCAACTATAAATATGTCATTAATATTTAGTGGGGGGTTTTTTCATTTTTTTAAGACTTCATGATTAATTAGTGAATAGTAGGTATGAGCATCTGCACTGAACAACCACCATGACATTACACAGCTGGAAAAAATTCTGGGTCATGTAAACAGCAAAAACAGAGGCCAGCTTTGTTACTAGGCAGGAGCTGCACTCTGTACATGGGGAGAAAGCCAACTTATTCACTGCTCAAAATGAAAATGTCCACACAATGAAAGCAGTTGTGCAGCAAGAGCTTTCTAAGTCTGGCTTCTTTTCTAATTTGTACTGGTGGTAGGAAGCCATCTAGCAGAAGGGAGAAGGTGCTCAGGATAGGGGACTGAGTCTTCCCTGGCATTTTTCAGGTAGCTAAAGCTGCAGAAGCAGTTTCCTCTTTATTCCTCACTTCTTGACCAGTCTGAACATTCCCAGCTGCAGACAGTCCCTTCCATTGGGCAGGGACTTGTGATTAACCAAGAACATCCCATCAGGGTTTCTCATTTAAAATCAGATGCCTGCTCCTTCAAATGGTACCAAGGACAAAGGCACAATTCTCAGTGGCTTGGGTCCCTATAATACTGCATGAATCTTAACTGCACCCGACTACTTTAAATACATGTTCAGGGAAGTACAATGCGGCAGAAATGATGGTATTACCTTTTTAAACATTCTGGTAGAATCCTCGCTTATCTGCATAAACCTCATGATGACATTGTTCAGATAGATATCACTTAATGTTGCATGGTCCTTGCTTTCTCTTCTTACTTGGTTCAGGAGTAAATACCAGCAGTTCACTGGAGACAACAGGTTCTGGTCTTTCCTAAGGATTCAAAGAAATGTAGTATTATAAATAGTAGCCAAAGTACACTCAAATCAGTTATAGCAAAATAAAGTAAACCAAAAGAGCATAACAGGGTGCTGTTGTTTGTCCTTTGTTCTTGAAGAGGACCAATGACATCAGGAGGGTGATGTCTTGACTTGCAGGTGAACCGGATTTAAGTGAGGGAGGGCTGTGCAAAATCCCCAGCTTCACTTTCTTCTCTGGAGCCATCTGGGTCTGGTGGCAAGATATAGATCAGGACCACTATAGATGGTCTCGGATGCAGTGGGGAAGACCTTGGCCTTTTTAGTTAAGGTCTTTGTTAGGTCTCAGTTTGTCTGAGGCAACACCCATTCTGCACCTGAATTACAAAAGGCACACCATCACCAGCAATCTATCCTTCTAAGCGGTAGAAGGCACGTGGCCAACCGATCCCCAGGCTTGGAGAGAGAAAACTCAGGCCAAGAATATTTGGTCAAAACCCACACTCTTTAGAAAAGTGCCATGGGACCCCTCACATTCATAGAGCTCAGAGAGGTTCTTAGTTTTAAACATCTCATTGAAGAAAGACAATTTATGTTTACATTTAAATCAAACTCCTGCCTCACAGAAAGAATGTGGTTTGCCACTGTTCAAAGTCTGCTAGGGAAATTCAGTCTATTGCATGTCAGAAAAGATTTGATTAGGTACACTTCCAATGGGATATAAATTCATGTGTTATGTATCTCCATTCCCCCAAAGAATGCCCCAAAATGACAACGCTACAGTATTATGTCTAGTATCTCGACTCTCTGGACTTGCTGTACTTTCTCAACCATGCCACAGAAGCCTCTTCACCTTGGAAGTTTCTTCCACTCATGGTCTTCTCACACTGAAAGAACATTCCACTCCCATGGCACCTTCTCTGATTGGCTGGCTCCTTCTAGAACCATCATTTTAAGGAAAATGCCCAAGCCAATCACAGCTTCATTCCTCTCCAGGCTCCTCTCCTGACTCTCTGGCATTTTCTCTACCGTGTAAGGCATCATGCACACCCCTTGTGGGGATATGGGTACCTACCTTCTCTCTCCCCTCTTTCAGTTTCTTGCTATATGTTATTTCCCCCTACTAGAATGTAAGCTCCTCAAGGGCAGGGACTATCTTTCTGTTTATATTTGTACTCCCAGCACTTAGTACAGTGCCTGGCATGGGAGAAGCACTTAATAAATATCTGTTGATTTAACTTGACATCATAAATGACAGCAAGAAGCCTGCTGGCTTACAAACTTCAAATCCTATTCAAATTCGTAAGACCACATTGGTTTCTTTGATTTCCCATCTCCCCCAACAGAATTATTAGATAATCATAATTTAAATACTAGAACTTTTAAAGATTTTATTCTTTAGGAATAGTTTATTGAGCAAATAAGTTATTTTGACTATTATAAATACCCAAATTAACCATAAAGGACAGATGAAGAAAGATGCTAAAGACTGATAAATAGAAGTATGTATAGAATAATTTTACATACACACACACACACACACACACACACACACGCCTATTTGTGTCTAATGGTAGCCATCCCTAGGGCAGTGGGAGGGAAGAAAAAAAAGAAATTTACATAATAATTCTGTTGTATATTTGAAAGGAATAGCAAGTTGTACAGAGTAGATTTACAGTTTCATATGCAATCATCTTTTTTTTTTATTGTACTATGTTATGGAAATGCTTCTTTATTCCACAAATTAACAATAACATTTAAAAAGAGAGCTCAAAAAAAGAATAGTCTATTGATAAGATATTTTTGCATCATAATACAATTTCAAAATATGAATCTTTTTGTCTTATATTTGTATAAATGCTTCATAGATCTATGAATTCATCAACGGGGATACTTTCTCCTCTAATGCCTATCATAACATCCCTACGGGTTGTGTAAAGGCAGTAAAGATCATGACCTGTGGCTGAAAATTTCAAGGCTGTGTAGCCAAGCTAGTGATGAGTATTAAATGAGTAACAAATTGGATGACAGACATACATCCCACCAAAGGGCCCCTCCTTAAAGACCTTCGGATCTTGGTAGGATAAACCAGAGTTCATGTTCTGCTGACATCACTGTCAAGAAGCCAGTGTTACCCCTCCTGCTATGGTGAGGCACCAGCAAAGAACTTTTAAAAACCTATCAAACCACATGACAGCCCCAAACTTGGGCTGTATGGGAGTAAAACCCATAAGTTCTGTTTATGACTCAGATTTAGAAGGTTACTGCTCATGGTCATTTATGGTCCTTGAATTATAATGTAGCCAGGATAGGATGGCTGATGAAGTCAGAGCTTTCTGCCTACTCAGCTATTGTGTTCACAATTTAACTTCCAGTAAATCAAAATTCTATTTCATTGATCTAAAATATGCTCTGTCAACATACATATTTTTGGACATGGCCAGTGTGGGAATTTGTTTTGCTTGATTATGCATATCTGCTACAAGGGTTTTGTTTTCTCTTTTTCTTTTCCCCCCAATGGGGATAGGGGAAAGATGAGGGAGAAAGAAAAATAGATTTTTGTTAATTGAAAAAATAAACTAAACGATGCCCTGTCAATGCCAATTATCCTTTTGGGAAAAAGCTCCAACAGGAAGGAATTATTACAATAGACCTCTGGAAACTCCTAACTTTTTAAATGTCATCAAAATAAAACTTCAAATTTGATACTCTCTTCTCTTGCATAACCTGCAGGCTAACTACAAATATATTTTGTGAAAGATAAAGGATTCTTGAGCAGTTATTCATAAATAACAGTAGCTATTTCTTCTTATCTTTTGAATAGAATATATAGGGACTGGCTTTAAGTTAACAACGAAGATGTTATGTTTCTTATTAAACTCTCCCCTCACTCCTTGTTTCCTTAATAGGAACAGATTTACACTGTGTAAAAACCAGCAAAACATAAGAAGGGAGACTTGGTTTTTGAACAAACACATCCAACTTTTCATTTTATTTAAGGTGGAGCCTTAAAACTGCAGATGTGTTATATCTGGTGACTAGTTATTCTTGACAAAAATTTGAAACAATCATCTTGAAGTTATTAGAACCTTTTATTAGGTGTCAGCCTTTGGCAGCCTCTCTCTCTCTCTCTCTCTCTCTCTCCCTCCCTCTCTCTCTCCCTCCCTCCCTCTCTCTCTCTCTCTCCCTCCCTCCCCCTCTCTCTCTCTCTCTCTCTCTCTCTCTCTCTCTCTTCTCTCTCTCTCTCTCTCTCTCTCCCTCCCTCTCTCTTCCTCTCTCTCTCCTTCCCTCTCTCATTCTCTCTCTTTGTCTGTCTCTTTCTGTGTCAGTCTCTCAAACACACACACACACACACACACACACACACACACACACACACACACACACACAATTACTGGGTACTGTTGGCTGGGCAAAAACCAGGTGGCAGGAAAGTAACCCTTGTGGTTGGAAAAACGGACACTCCTAGAAACTTGTTTTCTGTTGTTCAAGGAGTACCTAAGCTAACAGTACCCTATGTTTTGTCACAGAACTTCCAAGGCAGCACCTTGTAGAATGATAAGCATAGAAAGCTGTATAGCGTAGATATCTAATAAGTATTCATTGAACGAGTGAGTAGAATGTTAGCTAATCAGATGGAAAACAGAAGGAAAATTCTGTGGCATCTGTTTTTCAAACAATCCCATCTGCCCAGCTAAAAGGATAAGGTCAGATCAGAGTTGAATGGACAAATGAATGAATGATGAAAGTATGAAGGGTGGGGCCAGCTCAACTCTGGTACAGAACTTTTCTTCCCAATCTGGAAATCATCCACTAGTCTACAAATGATGACTTAAAAGCAGAACAATCAAGGTTCCCAGAGGGGGGAAAAGAACCCCAAACAAAATCCAGAAAGTTCATTCCACCTATTAGGAGAGGCTATATTCATTGTATATGTACTGTCCTTTCATTCCCAATGCCACCATCTTAGTCTAGGTTCACTCCACTTCACACCTTGTTATTACAGCAATTTCAGGGGCAGCTAGGTGGCACAGTGGATACAGCACTGGCCCTGAAGTCAGGAGGCACTGAGTTCAAATCCAGCCTCAGATCAAACACTTGACACTTACTAGCTGTGTGACCCTGGGCAAGTCACTTAATCCCAATTGCCTAAAAAACAAAACAAACCAAAAAAACCCAAAACAAAACAAACAATTTCCTCCTTTCCAGAAGTCCCTACTTTTTTTTGGGGGGTGCATGCTAGGCAATGAGGTTAAGTGACCTGTCCAAGGTCACACAGCTAGTAAGTGTCAAGTGTCTGGGGCCGGATTTAAGTTTAGGTCCTTCTGATTCCGGGGCCGGTGCTCTATTCACTGTGCCACCTAGCTGCCCCCTCTCTCTACTTCTCCCACTGCATTCAGGGCCATCTCCAGTCCTCCTGACCTATATCTAGCCACTGGTCCCAGATGGCTCTGGAGGCGAAAGTGAGGCCGGTGACTTTTGCACAGCCTTCCTTCTCTTAAATCCAATTCAATTGCAAGTCATGGCATCACCTTCCTGATGTCATGGTCCTCTTCAAGAAAGAAGGACAAACAATAACTCTATATTACCATCATCATCATCATTATTATTATATTAATAGGCCTCAGCCCAAGCCTCACTTGCTCATTGTTTGGGTTTTGATGGCTCAGAGTGAGTGCAAACAGCAATTGTTTCTATTCTGGCCAGAAACCTTGAGGGTCTTCCCTGCCTTGATTCTTCTGTGAAAGCAAACTAGGCCATCTTTTACCTGAATTCTTACCTAGCCTTTAACTACTGAATAGGTGTTGCCTCAGACAAACTGAGACCTGGGAAAGACCACAGCTTGAAAAGGCCAAGGTCTCCCACTGAGTCCTGAGCCATCACCAGTGGTCCCAACCTATGTCTGATGACTCTGGAGGAGAGAGTGGGCTGATGACTTTGCACAGCTCTGCCTCACTTAAATCCAATTCACTTGCAATTCAGGACATCACCCACCTGACCTCATTGGTCCTTTTA